TGACAAGAATCGACTCTGATCGTTCTATCGATGCGATCGCAACTTTTTGGAAAGGATCTAGCTCAAAAGGATATGTTTTTGCCGGTTTTGAAGGTGGAACGTGTAGAGAAATTGGCGTGTATTGATAGTTTGGAGGAAGGGCTACTTGATGGCGGACCTTTATATTAAATTACATGAGCTTATTATCTGGTCAATTTTTGAATCCTTGACATGGAAAATTCACAAATACCTGATGACTTAGAATAACGTGTTCGCCTTCAGACATTCGAGAATCGGAACCTTTTGATATAGCAATTTCACTTATAGTTTCTTCTCTAGAAGAGGATTTTTATTCTCGATAGTGGTAAAAGAAGGGAAAAAGTTTCTTTGAAGGAAAAAATAACTTGACAAGCCCTCCAGTGAATTGTTTTTTTTTTAAAAAAGTTATATATATTTATATTATATAAATAATATTTCAAAATTTTTTGCATTATATTATATATGTTTAACAATTATTTAGAAATATGTTTTAGACTTGTAAATTATTAAAAAAGATTAAATACTTTTCAAAAAGTTTAAATTATTAGATATAATATAAATATAATGATACAATTATAAATTGAAATTATAATATATAACAAGTTAATTCAAATTAATTTTATTTAACTGAAACTAATTTTGTATAATATATAATAAGTTAACTTAAGTTAATTTTATTTGATTGAAACTAATTTTATATAATGTATAACAAGTCAATTTAAAATAATATAAATAAAATTTGTATAATAATTTAACTTATATAAGTAAATAATAAGTGATATTCTTATTAATTATATTATAAAAAAGTTAAAAAAAAATTAAATAATATACTGTAGTTATATAATATTCTTATTTAATTAGGATTTAATTGAAACTTGAAAGATTTTTAGAATTTTTAGAATTTTTTTAATAGATATAAAAAGAGAAAAGTATATTAAAGAAAGATAAACAATATTAAAATAAATTTAGTTTAATATCCTATACATGTTGTTGAAATTCGTAGATCCTTGATACAATTGACGCAATTATTTGATGCAATTAATTGAGTTACTATTAAAACATAAATAATTGAGTCATGACACAATTATTTTTGAGGATTTTGGGAATTGAGTCAACAGTAAATAATTTATATCACATGTATATAATATTCAATACTTTTATTTATTTTATATTATAATCCATATGTTACTATTCAATATTGATATTATATAATTAGTAATCACAATATAGCAATAGATTTGTCAATAATTACACTTATATTATTGATATAGTTGTATTTATAAAGTCTTATTAATTATATAATCTTAAAATGATTATTTAAATTTGTAATATTTTGTAATATTACATACTGTATATTACTTAATGTACTTTCAATTTGATTAATTAATTTTATAACATTATATAGTTATAAATATTTATTTAGAATTAAATAATATATTATTTTTAAATATTATAAATTTATATTTATTATTTTAAATAATAATTTTTTATTTTTGAATAATTTAATTTTTTTAAATATTATTTTAGATAATTTTTTTTTTTAAAAAATAATTTTGCATGAGAATAAATAAAATTATCGATGGTGATCATGTGTTATAGATAATGATACGTGACCAGGAATTTGAAGATCCTAACATGTCCTCTGACGAAAAGAAGCGTAGTATAGACAATGACAAAAAGA